GCAAGTTTCAGGACAGTCAGGGCTACACAGAGAAATCCTATCTTGAAGAAAAAAAAAAGACATTTAAAAAGTAACGTGTGTGTGTGTGTGTGTGTCTGTGTGTGTGTGTGTGTGTCTGTGTGTGTGTGTGTGTGTCTGTGTGTGTGTGTGTGTGTCTGTGTGTGTGTGTGTGTGTGTGTCTGTGTCTGTGTGCCTATGTGTATAGGTGTCCACAGAGGTCAGAAGAGGGCATCAGATCTGGGGCTTGAGTTGGTTGCCACCTGATGTGGAAGCTGAAGTCCAATCCATGTTGCCTGTAAGAGCAGTGAGAGCTCTGAACCGTACATCTCTCCAATCCCTGTTGATTGTTTAAATCATTTCTGAGGTTTATCCACTTTTTGTTTTTTCAAGACAGGGGCTCTCTAGTTCTGGTTGTCCTGGAACTTGCTTTGCAGACCTGGAAGGCCTCAAACTCTTAAGAGATCCTACTGTCTCTGCCTCTCGAGTGCTGAGCTTAAAGGTGTGCTCTATCACGAACCTGGCCCCATTGATTATTTTAAACCTTTTCTTATAGTTCTGGGGATGAGCTTTAAGGTCTTGGGCATGCTAAGCAAATGCTCTACCAGGAAGTTCATCCCCAGCCCTGTTGTCTTCTTCTAGACACCTACATCCATATAACATGTGCACATACACTTACTTTACACTTTGCACCTAATTTTTCCTCTTAGCAATAAGTACAGAAGATGGTCTGTATTCCATTTAATCATACCTCATTTAACAAAACCTCATTTAACAATACTTCATTGTTGTTGGTGATAATATTTCAGTATATTTTTAACGAGTTGGCCAGTAATAGATGCTTTGGTTGTTTCTAATCTTATGGAATTAAAGAAGAATACATCAATCCAGGTGGTGGTGTCAAACACCTTTAGTTCCAGCACTTGGGAGGCAGAGGCAGGTGGATCTCTGAGTTCAAGACCAGCTTGGTCTACAGAGTGAGTTCCCGAACAGGCTACACACACACACACAAAAAAAACCCTGTCTCAAAAAAAGAAAAAAAAAGAAGAAGAAAAAGAAGAATGCATTAGCCCTTGGACATATTTATTCACATATATGTATAACCACAAGTTTGGAGAATTGGCTTTGTTGCATCAAATGCTACACTTTTAATTTTGTTGTGTCCTATATATTACTGCCTTTAGACAAATCCCACTTATTGGATGGCTCTCCCACTACAAATGCCTGACTACAGCTGCGCCCACAGACTTGCCTTCAGTGTGTTAAGCTTTGAGAACATTGTCAATCATTCAAAAAGCAAAGTGCTTTCTTTCAGCTTTTGTTTATAACTCTTTCGTTATAATAGGACTGAAGATCTTTTCATGAATTAGAAGCCAGATCTTCCTCCTCTGTGAGCTGTCTTGTGACCTTTATCAATTTAAAAATTTACAATTGGGGGAGGGCTGGAGAGATGGCTCAGAGGTTAAGAGCACTGTCTGCTCTTCCAGAGGTCCTGAGTTCAATTCCCAGCAACATGGTGGCTCACAACCATCCATACCTGGAAACCCAACCCTTTGGAGATGGAGGCGGGAGGATCAGAGTTCAAGGCCTGCCTCAGTTACATAATAAGTTTGAGGCCAGTCTTGTCTATAAGAGACCCTGTCTCAGTCAGGCATTGGTGGCACATGCCTTTAATCCCTGCACTGGGAGGCAGAGGCAGGTGAATCTCCCTGCACTGGGAGGCAGAGGCAGGTGAATCTCCCTGCACTGGGAGGCAGAGGCAGGTGAATCTCTGTGAGTTCGACCCTGTCTCAACATTTCCCACCCCACTTACTACTCTAGAGGTGGTGAAACTTGGGAGAATGGAGCTGATAAATGACACAGACTAAAATCTCATTCAATAGCCAACTCTTTTTTTTTTTTTTTTGAGACAGGGTTTCTCTGTGTAGCTTTGGAGTCTATCCTGGCACTCGCTCTGGAGACCAGGCTGGCCTCAAACTCACAGAGGTCCACCTGTGCACCACCAACGCCCGGCCAGTATTAAATTGTTAAAAAGAAGTTTGTGCCAGATGGTGGTGGCACACACCTTTAATCCCAGCACTCAGGAGGCAGAGGCAGTTAGATCTCTGAGACTAGCCTGGTTTACACAGCTAATTCCAAGACAACACAGAGAAATCCCGTCTTGAAAAACAAAACAAAAATTTTTAAAAACCCAAACAAACAAAAAGTTTGTCTTACAAATTCTTTGACTTTCTTTGTGAACAAAGAAAAGTTAAGCCTTTATCTGCTTCTGCTAGGTTCGGTTCATACCTTTCTTTTGGTTTTCATTTATCTATATCTTGTCAAAAATCCTTGAACACGATTTCTAATTCTAAATCTTTCTGTCTTCCTATTTGTTACATAGCCCAGGCTGGCCTCCTTCAGTCTCAGACTCTGGGTTTCTAAATACCCTTCTTGCATTTTTATTCTTTTTGTTGTTGGTGTTTCTTGTTTGTTTGCGAGGGCTTGCGCCACATCTCAGTAATCAGCAGCTCCTAAGGGCTGGCAGCTTAGTCCCCTTCCCTTCTCTGCAGGGGTTATCTGCCCTCAACGTGGGGACGGACCCTTCCTCCTCCAGACGCAAGAGGGCGCTGCAAGCCCCGTGGCAACCGGCACCACACAGAAATAAATTCTTAGCCACCTTCACCTTCTTCCTGCCTTGCTCCAGATCTGAAGTCCCACTTACCAGTGGCACCTCCTTGGCCGAGCTCATGAATTGTACCTGCACCCTCAGAGTGGGAAAATGTGTGAGGTCCTCAAGGTTCTGTGGTAGATGCTACATCTATTAGGGTCAAAACAATGAAAATTCCTTACACTTAGGTGAGAATTCTCCAAATGTAGGCAAGGTAGTTCAGAAGATGGGCAGGCAGGAAAAGCAGACAAGCGATTGCTGCCTTCTCTCATGTCCTGCTCAAGCTGTTGCTTTGATGAGACGTCCCCAGGTCATCCATCCTGAAACACTGACAGGGCTCATACAACCCTTACTGCTTAGGTCAAATGTGACACCAGAAAGCACTGTGCTAATGACACCTTCTATAAAACATGCATCAGATGAAGACTTTCAAAGAACTAGGTGCTACCTATATTTAAGAAGTCACACAGTAGCAACCTATTGCAGCCCGCAGCTCGGCTCTCAGAGTTCCGACTTTCCCAGTGGACTATGTTGACAGGCTGCTGTCTTAGCAGGGCCTAGGTCACATTCTGTGCCTCCTTATCTCTTCCTCAGTGCTGGGAACTGAGGCTAAGTAAGGCCTGATGTTTGCTGGGCAAGTACTCTACCCCTGCGCTATGCCCATAACCCCAGATTCTTAGTACATTCTGGTAGCACCCATTAAATAGAAGATACTCCACCAATGCCTAGGAATTGGCCAGGTGGAATAAAGCAAGAGCCAGTTTTGAAAGTTTCCCCCTTTCAGGAGTTCTGAATCCAGGAATCATTTCAGGTTAATAGATCTATTCAGGATCAGCTGTGGAAGAGGAATCTTGACTCTAGTAATTTCCTTCTATCTCACCTCCACGTGTCAAACTGTCAGATTCTTCCAAGTATTATTTAGCGATCCAACTGATATTTTTCAACTCTGACTCAAGACTAAAGGGGGCGGGGCGCGACAAGGAGGACACAATTCTTACCCCAGGGAATTTGCATTCTAGTCGGGGAGGTGGATGATCATCAAACGTTAATTTGTGGCTCTGAAAAGCGTGGAGAAGGAAATGCCACCGAGACTCTATAAAAAGCAGGTCTGACCTACTCAGGAGAGCTAGGGCAGCCTCTTTTGAAGACTTAGGGCTGGAGCTAGACTATGCAGAAGGGGAGGAGTTAGACCTAGGGGAGACTCGGTGAGTCCTTGGAGGTGATGGTCTACGTGGCGTACTTAGGAATCAATAAAGCGTGTTTAGAGGGCAGCGACAGAGGGACAAGGGGCCCGCACCTAGTTTGCGGATGGCCCCTCTGCCTGTGTTTGAGGGAGTGCGTCATGACTGCAAAGACGTACCGGACTTCAGCCTCCCAAGTCCCACCTGGGAATGACGTCGCCTGGGTGCAAAACTAAAATAGACGGCTCC